CAGCATGCTATTCATCACCAACCGACCTCCTGCTCCCCTTCTATATAAAGTTGCTTGTCCCATGTTTTTTTTCGATTTGCGAGAGCTAACTCGACTACAAGAAGCTCATAATTATACTCACACACGTGCGGCTCAAGTAATGAATACTGCTACCTCAGAATGATATTTCAGGATATACCTCACGATCATCAGGCGGAGGTGGTGTAGTGGCAAGTGGCACGCTTGGTATGCGTGCATCCTAGACGTGAAAGCCCGGATCGGTTCCCGCCAGAGCCAGCCGACCCTTCTACCCACATAGACGGTAACTTGGTACCGGATTCGTCTGGGTGAAAACTGAATTGTTCATCGGCTGCCCCCGCAAGTCATTGTAAAACATCATACATCGCACCGTACACATCGCATACCATAACCAATTGCGATTCTGAATGGAAGTAGAATACTTGGCGCCTCCTAAAAAGGAATTCATCATTGGCGAAGATATTATACTTAGTCCCATACACCTCACGACCGTGTAATCAGTATTGTCCAGCTCAATTTCTGTGATAGGACATCGATATTTTAGCACGAGTTTGTCGGACGAGGAAAAAGCGGACTGCTTCTATCGCGGCGGCTTCTACAATTGGTTCGAACGAGGTCCAAATAGCTCCTTCCTTTTGCCGGCTTTTCCCGGATTCGAAACTGTTGACGGAAAAAGGTGAGGTGATCTCTCGATACAGTCATTTTCATACGTCTCCACGGAGAACCCGAAAGCACACTCTACGCTTTCATATGGTTGGAACCAGACTTATTACTATACAGCCTTCTATGACGGAAGAGCATGGCATAGCTACTGCGTAGAATTTTCCTTATAAATGTGCCGTCCTTTCTCATTGGCAAGGAACAGGGACACACCAGTGAGGAAAGCGGAATAATTCGCCTGCTTCCTCCCTCACAGTCAGCTCGGAATATTTTTTCAAACCTAGTGGTTAGTATTAAGGTGCACTGAAGAAGGACGATACTGCAAGAGGGGAATAGAATTGGATTTCTGGAGCCCTTGCAACGAAAGCACTGAAATACACGCCGGACAGACCTACCATCGTGGTTGTTATTTTGGCAGGGGAGCCCTGCAGGTGATTATTTCCTCCAAAGCGATCGTTTAACAATCTATCAATACCAATCAATATATCGATTTATTTCAGTTGTCATGGAACTATAATTACGGTCTATTTCAACAGTTTCTCCTATCTAAAGGAATCAAAGTCGATCTGATCAATAACCCGAACTTGGTACTACATTATAGCAATTTTTCCATTTCTTAGCAGCTCCAATGTTGAGTCCGACTTCAGGTAGTCACTAAGATGGATCCCCCACTCGCTATGTTGGCCAGCCTATGGTTTTATATGACGCCACAACCACCGAAACCTTCGATGCATAGCATTGTGGTAGGTTGGTGCATTCTCACTCTATTCTGAGCAATTCCAGTTGTTTAATGGAGGCGGAGCCGACTACGCGACAACTTGTTCTGACCTGCAGTCTTGTTCGCAGCGGATGATGGGGCGTGTCAGTGGAGGTGGGTTTGGCGCGCGCCCTTCCCCCACCAGCTGTTGAAGCGGATAGACGACAGCAACTGATGGAAATGGACTGAAACGAACGACACGAACGACATAATGCAGTATTGTCCTATGCCGAAAGAACAATAAAGGGAAAACGAGCTGGCTCCGCGCCTACCCCGTCCCCCTGACATAGCCCATCATCCCGCACCGAGCAAGACTGTATTTTCGGCCGAGAAGGACTAGCTCGTACACTGCTGGGGACTGTACTCGTTTCATAAGGGTCCGGAACGATAATGTGTGAGTTTGGGGGTGCGTAGCTACGGAAAATGGGGCCAAACGGCTCCCAGACTGGACCACTTTCTGCTCGTCCACACTGTCACCAAGTTCGCACATCGAATGTTGATGTAGGTCCTGAAGGAGCTATAGACGTTCCCGCTATGGACGTTGGGTGTATCAGGGGCTAGGTTTGCTGCGACGCCAACCCTTTTCCCGTCAATTGTCGCTTGCCCACTACCACAAGTGGCGGAGAACGGGCTCACGCCGTGTCAAACCCAGCCCCCTGATGAGCCCCAGCCTCTGCAGCGGAAGCGGCTATAAGTCATACTTTACAAGTTGTGCGCATGCAGCCTTGGCAGCACCCGCGCAGGCCGTTTCCTAGTCCACCGCCGCAGCGCGCTAAAGAACTAAAATCCCCCATTTCGACAGATTTCTCACCGTTCCCGCAGCACTTAGCACCTCTGCTCTTTTTCGGAGTGTCAGTCTAGTTATCGCGCTAGCTGCCTTCAAATGAGGGGTTGATGGGGAACTTACCTCACGCACGACTCACGGACAGTATCTCGGCGATGATCCCGTCAGATTGACCAAGCCTTCCAACGTCAATGGCCGATAAGCTGTCAAACTCTATTGAAATAAGAGTACCAGCCTTGTCCGAAAGGGTGAAACTACGGCTTCTTTGTACACGGACAGGTCTCCTCGAGCCATGGACAGGTCCCTTAGAGCAATGGAATAGACCAAGTGCCTGTCTGGATGCGAGTTAAAACTAGATTTTGAATGAGAATAGATTGCGTGGCGTAATCCTAAGTTGGAGACATCACTACCGCATGTTTGATCCTTCATATTTTGATGATTTTGGATTCAGTTTGCAGAAACGTATTATAGATTACTTCTATTGAAGGTGACTGGCGACAGTCAGAGAAGAACAGACGTGCCGGATTCAGCGGTCCTATTTTCGGTCCAACCAGTCTTGTGATTAACAATGAATGCGGTGGTGAAGATCCTGAAGAACCAGGTAGGACTTGGCATTGGGCTAATTCTAGTGGTTGTTTTAGAATGATTCACTCCTGTTATGAATGCCGTTTACCCCAGCTGTTGACTTCGGGAGGGAATTTATCTTTAGGTTCCGCAATGAGGCCATCTCAGCAGCACTTCACACTCCCTTATAAACACCTTATATCGTCGCAATCAGCGGGTGGGGGAGGAGGTGTCAAGAGGCGTGTAATGTGCACACCCATTTCAAGGGTGGTTGTTTTCTACCTAAATCGATTGATTAGCTGATCACCGTTGGTAGAAGAAGAGCCGGAGGCGTGCTTATCCCACCTCTCCTGATAGTGCCGCGACCGATTGCGACAAAATCGATTATAAATACCCTTTCCTTCTGATTCAATTTGGTGATCATATGAGCGAAAACCCGGCTTTCTTGTTGTTGCTGCATGCACTTCCTCGACGTTTCTTCCGATTTTTATAAACCTGCTTCCCGAAGGTTTCCAGTGGATCCAGATACATCGCCGTGACATACGTTGATGGTTCACGAAAGGTGAAGGCAGAAAGACCCACAGCAACCGAAAGGTTAATCCACTGGACGGCATCTACTGAGGACACTCACTAATGGAGCCACTTGTTTCCCAGGTCCTTTAAAAGACACATGGTACGCTCAAACACATTGAGGGTGTATGAGACTAACAGCCCCCCAGCTGTCGATGTGTCGTGGTTTCCCCGCCTGAAACTGCACGGGGGTCCGAGTACGGGACCGTGGGAAAGGCTTATTCCTTGCTACACGTTCGGGGGCCGCCCGAAATGCAAACATTGCACAGCGGCGAAATGCCAACTTGCGCAGGCGGTGCATTTTGGCGGCAAGGAAAATAAGCCTTTCCCAACGGTCCGGCGTACTTAGAAACCCCGCTGCAGTTCGGGCGGGAAAGACCGGCACGACACATCGACAGCTTGGGGGGCTGTTAGCTCATACACCCCTCAATGTGTTTGAGTGTACCATGTGTTCTTTAAATCCGACAAGCCATTTTGTAAAACTTGACGCTTGTATTGCCAATTAACATATTTGATTCACCACAAACTGAAAGGCCTTTAAAACACTGAATAGCACAGTCCGCACGCTGAAGCATAGGGGCGTGCCGCATCCCAACAGACTTTTTCGTCATTCTGAACGTGGTCATGTCTGCTGATCGCATTCAGGGGCATGTGCTGCAGCTCGGGAAACTTTTCGGGAAGGTGGGACCCTCTACCTCCCGCGCCTCCTCACCCTCACTCCTAACTCCTTGCTCTGATGCTAACACTCTTTCGCGGCATCCTACCTACCAACTTTCTTCTCCGATCTCCCCGCCATTTTTTCAATTTTCCGGAATTGCCCCGAAAATTTTGCAGATTTTCTAGTTTTCCCCAAACTTGCTTGTCGAAGCGAGTGAGGGGATGTCATCACGTACCAACTCTAGTTTCAACATTTACCAGAATTTTGGTGGCGCCCAACGGAGTACAAGTGGACGGCGGGAAAACGCGCCTGAAACCCAATCATACCGGGAAAGATTTTTCCCAAACGCCCCGGCGAAGTCTTCTCTGCCAAGATAAATACGGCTCCCCTCCCTCTGCTCCAACAAGGAGCAAAAATATAACGCCTTTTCGACTAGCTCCCTGTAAAGTAAGAAAAGGTCAACCGATCAAAAACGTTTTTTTCAGATAAAGTTGACGCCCCGGGTCCCCCCCGCTGGGGATTCCACAACATACGGCCTGAGCGCGTTAGGAAGGGAGAGGCTCACAGGGAGGGATTTGCATAGAGCAGGCCCGACTCCGCACACCTGATAGCGTAAATGGCTGGCTTTGGAGTAACGTTGACGCCGAGTAACAGTGTACAAACAGCACAACGGAGGCATGGACACCCCTCTCCCACCTCACTTAAAAAACGGTCTCGGTGCACGCTCCCCCCGCCCCAAAACACCTACCTGCCACTCCACTTTCCTACATGTTCCCTGCTTTCTACCAGTTTTCTCAGAAATTTCCCGAATATTTGCTACTTTTTCCCAAAAGTCCGTCGAGCGGGGTGGGTGTGGGGGGGGGGGAGTTCAGCAACCGCAACAACTGTTTTTTCATCGGAATAGTCGGCATGTTTCTCTCAAGGGCAAAAACGATTCGCCCCCTCCCAGTGATCAAAGTATGATTCCGCGGCACTGGTCGCCCCCAGCAGCAAGTACGACCGTCCCGATGTGTGTCACACAACGATGCTTCTCCCTGCCCGCACCTGCACTAACGAACTAACAGATCCATTCACTGTCGACTGCTCAAAAACTGCTCAAAAAAACAAAAAAAACTGCTCTTCTCAAAATATGACAAATCTAGTCATAAATCATTTGAATGTGAGTACAACGGATAAAAATGTTCATTTTATGTGGTCCGGGAGAATCGCGACGGATCAAAGCGTTCAAATGGTTTTGCAAATACTTTGACGTGCCAGCTGGTCCCGAGCGATCACTGAGCTGCAAAGGTTCGTGAGCACCGCTCTTGATTTCCATTTCAAGATCCTTTTTCATTTTCAGGAATGCTTGACAATTTTGACGCAGTTCAGCATAACTACTCGTGGCAACCGGATTGGGGGAACATGTGGAGGAGTAGGCCGTGTGATTGTGAGCCGGCACCGTACGGAGGCAAGTCATCACAATTGGTCTTAATAGTTGACCTCGTGTGAAGCTCTGAGAACGAGAAGGAGAAAAGGAAAGCATTTAAGGGCACGCCTCGTGCCCATTTGATGTTCAGACGTCTTCTTCGAACAAGATAGTTCTGTTCGAAACCGTAGAGGATGTATTACCTCCGTAGCTCAAAAGTACGTAAGGAAAGCGCGACCCACTAGCGACGGAACCACCGCTCCGCCCATTGGCCACGGCGACGCCCAACTTTCATTTTTAATTGCTATCCTATGAGGTGTTTCCACTACTGACTCTATCTATTTGTATGGTGACAGTGAGGTGATAAGGAGGAAGAACTGGTACCAACAAGTGAAAACACGTCCGACCACGCCCTCTCAATGTCTTATTTACCTACAAATACGGTTCAGCGTGAGACTCTATATGGGGCTTTTTTAGCGCGTTTTTGTGAATATTTTTTTCTCTTTTGTGCTGCTTATCATCCTGTCATTCGTATTCGAGTCGCACAGCTAACCGTTTTTGAGCCCGGGACGTGCCTTCAATGAGTAATTTGCCAAATTTACACTTTGATACGGATGTTTATGAGAGCTCAACATTTGATCAAGCAACGTAAAGGCTCTACTGCTACTTTTGTACTTCTGGGACCTTTACCACGCAGCTCAGTTTAATAAAGTTCCTGCTCCAACTTATGTTTTTCACAGGTCCACTGCCATATTACGACCCGAAAGTCTATCCGAGCAAGTTTGCCAAAGAAAACGACAGAAACCGTCTCAGATGTGTCTACAGTATCTACGATAGTCCTAGCACATTTCGATTGGACGAAGGTGATGTTACCTTTAAGGGTATCGATTAACGAAAAACTGTTCACTCACCTCCATGAGTCCTCGTCCTTGCCGAGTGTGGGGTATACAGGGGGGGGGGCAAAAAAAGACACTTCGACCGAGTCACATATCAGCAAAGTTTTCGCAGCCCAGACAGAAGACGTGGATACGAGTACCAGGGCGGAAGATACCCAAGATGTTCCTCGATAAGCAGGAGCTGGCTCTCGCCCATCACCTTCATGTACACCAAAATATGAAGCCATCTCCAGACTGGAGAAGGCCTTGGAATTCACGTCACCTCCAAACAGCTACGAAACTTCTTGTATGGAGCCATCCATGGAGCTACCTGGAG